GGTATATTACAGATCGTAAGTTTTGTCTCAAATGTGGCGCAAACGGGACGAAATTTCTAGGGATTCATTCACTTTCAAGAGAGCACGGAAAACCAATCAACCGATAAGTTCTTTAAGTTGTTTGCCATAAAAGCATTTAAAGTCACATGCATGCAATTAATTTTGACGTATTATACTTTTGATCGTTTAGATCCTCAGGGTCTGCTACGCGTGACACCGAATCCTGACCCTTCCAAAATGGACTTGCTTCCCCCGGATAACGAGATTTCAAACTGTGCCGGACAAGACGCTCACATCACCTGCGGGAAATCAGGCGACTCAAGAACAGCCGAACAGGTTGGTCTCACTGCATTACACACAGTTTGGTTGAGGGAACACAACCGCATCGCCCGGGAGCTCTCTCGCATCAACTACCACTGGAACGGAGATCGTGTTTTCCACGAGGCGCGGAAGATCGTCGGTGCGGAATGGCAGCATATTGTCTATAACGAGTACCTTCCACTTCTCATCGGCAAGCGAGTTGCAAGGCTGTATGGGCTCGACGTGAACCTACAGACGGGTGCAGAGTATGCGTACGATGGCAGCGTGGACGCCACCATCCGCAATGGTTTTGCTACGGCCGCGTTTCGTCTTGGGCATAGTCAAATATCGGCCACCGTTTGGCGAGTGGACCAACATTTTGAGCGAGTCTTCAGCGACATCAAGACAAGAGAAGCCTTCTTCAATGCCACTCATATCTATGACACTCAGGGCGGCGGATCGGGTGCCATTTTGAGGGGAATGCTTGTTCAACCCTTAGATGGAGTGGATAGATTCTTCTCGTCTGCAGTGCGAAGCCATCTGTTTGAGGATCCGGTTAAAGGGTAATCACCTTTAATTTTAAATTGTACCGGGCCATTCATGGTAACATAAATGATCACGGGCTATTATATTTAAACCAACAGCTGCCAGAGCAAACCTTCTAAGAACTAATATCTCCACCACATAAATCTGCTAGTCTCATCTGTGGATAAGTAAGTAGGCAAATGATTTCTGTTTTCCTCGGAGGTTTGGTCTTGATCTCATCGCACTGAACATTCAGAGAGGTCGTGACCACGGGCTCCCTGGGTACGTTCGCTTCAGAGCGGAGGTGTGTGGATTTGGCCTAATTACCACTTGGGAGGATTTGGAGCACGCATTACCACGAAGAATTGCCAAACGTCTGAGAAGAATTTATAGGTAAAGGAAAACTAAAAGGGGCATGTAGGCCTATGTGGCAAGCAGTCTTAGTCCAAGATTGTTTTTTTCTCCTTGTGCGAGCGAAGAACTGTTTTTCGCCTAAAGAGAGGGAGAGGGGGAAAGAAAAACAAGAAAAATGCACCGTACTATCAGTTCATCAGATGGTTTCATTTTTCAAAAAAATAAGTTTATTTTTACCTTATTTGTACCTTTGTAATTTCTTGTTTTATTTTTGCAAACTGACGCATGAATAACAACGTAATTCAATCTGAGTTAAGCATTTTGGTCTTGTGGGTGGTAGATCCGTAGAAGATATCGACCCCTTTGTCGGGCTCTTCGCCGAGCGTCATCTGCCAGGCACGCTAGTAGGACCAACTCTCGCCTGCCTGCTCGCCAAACAGTTCAGCTACCTTAAGCAAGGGGACCGCTTCTGGTATGAAAATACAGAAGGGGAGCAGGCATTAACTAGTGGTAAGTCCACTGGTCGATTCTTACAATTAACAAAGAGGAATATTTTCGATGTTTCATATTTATGGGTAATCATTCTGTGTTGTTCAGGTTTATCAGCAACGAATGATAATTCAGAGTTGTTGATAAGATGCAAGACAATATCAATAACCTCTTTCATTTCTGCCCTTTTACAAGTCACTAGAATTCAAAGGATGGGATTGAACAGTTTTCCGCTGCTGATTATATCAACAGTATATAACGCATAGTTTAGATGAAAGCATCGACATTTCTCAAACGCTGCAAAGTGCGCTTTAATATAATAATGTGCCCATTCAGTTGAATTTTTCTACAGCTTCAGATTTGGCTTAAAATTGCCATAGGCCTACAACTAGATTTTGGTGGACAAAAAAAAGATTAGAATCGTACTCAACTCCTCACGGTATTCATGCTTTGCAGAACAGCGAGAGGAGATCCAAAAGTCGAGCATGGCCCGTGTGTTGTGTGATAATACGGATGATCTGCTGGAGATTCAACCCTGCGCATTCCTGATGCCCGATGACGATGAATTGTGGAGTATGTACCGAAGGTAAAAAGCAAAGACGTCAGATACGGTACTGTACATAAGTAAATTTGCATTATGGGAATTGTGTCTATCACACAAGCAAAAGGAACACAGAGAACTTCAAGTGCCGTCTGTGCGAAGCTATACTGACTTGCCTTCAACAAAATTCGCTCACATAATTCTGTCAATTACATGCGTGGAACAACGACACACACGTTTAGCAAGACAAAGCACTGAAAGGATTATTCACTTGTAGCCACCAAGAGAGAAACATCGATCTTCATGCGCTGGTCGAATTTCTCGTCATGCACAGATTCCAGTGCTGCCACCGAGCCTGTATTACAAGGGAGGAAAACAGTTTCTTCCCATTGCAAAAGCACTCCAGAAAGTCTGTCAGCGTAATGCTCTAATTTTATGCAACTTGTATGGGGATTTTTATGGGGACAGTAATTTGCCTTTGGGGTCAGGAGACGGTTGTTCAGAAGAAAGGTTTTAAGCAACCGATGTAGGATCTATTTGGCAGGATTTGGAACCTGAGTTGGAGGTTCTTAGGCTCCACAGAGGTTTGCCTTACATTTCTTTTCTGCTTGTCATTCTGTTACGTTTTGTGCTAGATTCATCAATACGACTGGGCACACTTCAGTCAATTCATGGTATTTGGTACGATTTAACTTTCTGGGGACAGATTTCGAGAAAAACCGTTCACGTAATAAGATGACGCTGTGTGAAAATCACGAGTCAGTTTACCAGACTAGATAATATTATTGCCCGCCAAATGCTGGTTCGTGTGCCAACGTTTTGCCCAATCACTCTAAACAGTTCATAAAGCGAGGTAATAGCGTCTCCGCCCACTCCTTGTATACAGCAGTGTACCTTTGGGGCGTGGTTTGGAGGGGTTGTTTATTTAGTTTTTTTTTCATTCTTTTGTTTTTGTTAGTTGTTATTTTACATTAGGAACAATTATGTAGAAGAAAGGCAATCAGTCCACAAAATAGTTTATTGCTAGAGAGAATTTCTAACTTAAGTCTTTTTGATGATCTCCAAACAGTCTTTGTTTCAAACTGCATACCAATTGCATAGTCACGCATTACAGGAGCGACTGCAAAATGTTGGTGTAACCAGGCTGCAAAATTGCTACTCGAACTATTCAAGTTACCTGAAAATGTGTCAAATATGTGTGGAATACCAAGTGATTGTCAACAGTGTTGACGAAAATCACGGCCATTTTGAAAGGAATGAAGCGAGACCTCCTTTTTCTAAATCACGAACACTAATCATGTTTTTCTTGGCCTAAATTCCACTGCGCATGGTGCACAAAGAGCGCTTTAATGAAGTTGGATTTGTTGGTATGGTGCACTACCGTGTGATATTCGTCTTTTAATTGAAGTGGAAGCAGAAAAAACCGCCTTTGCCGATTCTCATCAAGCATACTTCATTTTCTTTCTTTCATCTACAGGCAGAAATATGAATACGAATCCTTCGTCGAATATAGTAAATATCATCGCTATCCTGATCGCAACGGTCAACTGAGGAACTTCTCCAATCGAAGGGCAAACTGTGAAGACGAGTCCAGAATTCCAAGGATGGATCTAAACGCGTGGGCAGAACGCTAGGCAAAGAAAACTTGACACAGATTGCTGCTAACATAGAATCACTCAAAATTTTCTTCCCTGGTATATAGTTGTTTCCTTTTCAATTATTGTATTGTTTCGTTTTGCTTTTTGTTATTATTTTATTTGTCATCATCAAAAAGGACGATACAAAAATACACGAAGAGCACAAGACGACAGGAGCTGAAACAGTGAACCTAATCACTATTGCCGGCAGGCACACAGCCCCAAACGACTACTAACAACACAAAGGCATTACAAAAGATACAATAAAAATCAAAAAGATCGATATACTTCTATACAAAATGTTAAAGCCAAACCCAGCAGGGAGAAGCAGTTACAAATTAAAAAGGTCATTTAACAGAAAAAAGGGGTGAAAAACGCAATATGAAATTTTATGAATATGAATTATTCTGCCACAGCACTCTGCTGTTTAAGATATAAGCTATGTTCGAAAGAACTTAAAACTTCGTTTGGAAAAAATGTCAACTCAGAAATATTGCGCCAATCTAACGACTGACTTTGAAATGTATTAATTACACCAAATTCTTGTCGTTAAGCCAGAATTTGAGTTGCTCAAGAGTGGAAATAATTCTTAAAAGGTAGAAATAGGCCATTATGATGTAAGATCCTGCATGAATGTAATGCGTATTACAGGCGTACATCTTTATCACGAACATCGCCCCCTTATATGTAGTGTATATGGTTCCCCCCTTTCAATTTCCATGGCCAAGTCATCTGCCCCACCAGTCGGCACCCCCCCCATCTTTCCCCATCCCCCTTCTTCCCCAACAACACACGTACAACTTCTCCATTATCACTTAGTTATGGTTTCAATACAGTGCTTATTATTTGTTGGTTTGAAAGCTACATGAGATATTTGCATTTAGTAGATTATTCTGATGTTCATTCTGTACAGACGGCCAGCCTTTATTAAGATTAGCCATACTCAAGCGGTCACTGAAGGTTCAATGTGCAAAGCAGTCTCTCGGTTTTCTCTTTAAAGAAGTGTGGCTTTCGTCTGATACCTATTGTCACGTGAAACCTGATTCCAAATGATTTACACCTCGAGGATCAATTCGCTTATTGTGCTGGAGTTATTACCGGGTTATTTGCCTAAGTTGGTTTACACTGACGATTTCTCAAGTCGCCATTTATCTGTGATTTTTTGTCAGTATACTGCTGTGGTTATCGACCGTTATTGTATTTTGTTCTGGGCTGCAGGAATAGGTCGAGCCGTTAATAACAAAAAAATAATAATAGCATAATGTTAGTACATGATGACCTGTGTAAGGACTGTAGCTACAGATATATAGATGGGTGGGTGGGTGGGTGGGTGGTAGTTTAGGTGGGTGGCCTGCTGGCTGGCTGGGTGGCTGGCTGGGTGGATGGATATAAAGCTCCAAATTTGGCTTGGAAATAGTAGAACTGCCAATAGAGACATGCACTTCAAAAACAAAAATGTCCGATTTAGAAGGTCGTGTTACAGCAAATAATTTCGCATTAAACTCTAAATAACGATGAGACACGACACTACAGTTCTGTCATGGAAAAATATAGAGCCTGCCGATCACAACACAAAAGAAAGAAAAACAAAGGTTTCCATTTGTTAGGGCTGAAGTGTTTTTTAGTCTATTGCAAACAATTTGTGTCGACTTGATATGAAATGCAGTTATTACTTCAACCCTTCAAATTACACGTTCTGTTTCTGTTAACCTTATTTTCAATTTTAATCAGTACTTGTTTTTTATGTGAAAGTATGCACACCAATACTCATTATCAGAACTGTAGCGTCATTCAAGGCACTGAACCTCACTGTGGGCCGTTTCCGAATAACTTTCCTGCGGCCAAATTTAAAAATTACGCGCGAGTGTATGGAAGTGGCCGCAGCAAGTTCCCATTGTGTGTAATTTCAAGCCAAAGCCAAGTGATTTGTAAGCGGTCTTACATTCATTTGTTCACAAAAACTGCTGGAGGTTTTTTGTATTTTGTTGCCACATATTTTTTTCTAGCAAGTTATTGTCGTATAAGTATGTGGCATTAAGCAAGAGAGCAACTTTTTCTCTCCTTGTTTTCAAGGAGTAAATATGAGTTAAATTTAACCATGAAAACATGTAAACCTAATACATGTTTCTCTTATTTTACATAGAAGCAACGCCCTCACTTGTCCAAAAACTTGCAAAATTATTAGAGTGTTTTAAAAAGTGTTTTTGCATATGTTAAACTCCAAAAAGATTTCTAATACTGTAATTTCCATACTTTGAAGAAGACACATAAAAAAGTGGGTCTAAGAAAAATCAATTGCATAGATCCTTTAAGTTGCGCTTCTTTGATGTATGGAGGCCTATACTATATAGGTTTCATACTTAAACTACTCTGAGTGGACGAAATGCTTTTCCCGGAGGTTTATAAACTGTTAACCTATACAAGTATAGCCAATTAGTTCTATGGTGGTATTCTTTGAAGTCAATCCTGTCACCCGGATGAAATACACAATCTGAGGCAGATGCATGCTTTATTGTCAACACTCTCAACGCGACGCCCTCCCGCATAGCAAAGGCGCTAGCGCTTGCGGATTAGCGGCTCTGAATGCTTGTTTGTGCTGCCTGTGTGTCTGGCACGGCATCGACGGGGCTTCGAGTATCGACCGACCCCGTTGTCCCCCTAACAACGGCCAAAATATATTCCACAACGAGTAAGCTTGATACGGGTTACACATACACATTGATGACTCAGATGTCAGGGGAAGTTTTGTGTATCTGACTGATTATAAACTTCGACTGATTATCTGAAGTCACAATTGCAGCAAAGAAGTATAGTGGCAATTTTTCATGAAGAGATACCCACAGGAGGCTACTTCGAACAACAGAAAACTGGTGATACAGATACAGTTCTCGATACAGAATACTGGACAGATTTCTACACCATGAATTCAAGGAGAAATTTGGGAAGCACGGTTCCTGAGGCTTACAATGGTATGGCTGTGTTCAGCGGAGACATGAACAATAACAAGAGGCATCAAAGTGAACAGGAACCTGTGCGATACAAGCGAGGAAAGCGCCGGAAAAGCATCACCTTAACGCGGAAAGACATGCCGGCCGTTCGGCCCAAGTCGCCGGCGACCGTGTGGCCCCATCCTCGCCCGATGAAGCGGAGTGACTCAAATATATCCCGGGTATCGGTTGCCTCAGAGTTTGCAACTATCGCAGAGGATGAAGTATGCAATGACTTCGGAGGAGATGTCTGGCAAAGTTACCCTCAGGTACCGTGTAGACGGGTGTCCTTCTCGTCAGCTCCTACAGCATCACCCTCTTTACTAACTAATTGGCGATTATCTTCATCTTCCCTTGTTGACAATTCCTCTCTTTCCTCGTCTTTGGGCAAACCTTCTCGACGTAGGGTTTCCATCATTAGTCTTCAAAGAAGTGACTCTACAGCCTCCTCACTGCTTGATTTGAATGCAAGACGCCTATCTACAGTATCTGATGCTGTAGTCGTACGGAAAAATGCCAGGTCACGGCGGCGTGGTAGCGCCGACGGGTACGCTGAGCACTATCGGCGAGTCTCAGCCGACGGACACAGTTTAGTGACTGGAAGAAGGTCCTTTCCACCTCTTCAGCCAACATCTCGCAGATATCATCGGTCAACAGGTCCAGCATATCAGTCTTACCCTCCACCGGACATGGACAATGTGGCAATTCAGCACGAAGGTGAGCAGTCAGGGGATATACAGGAAGGATCCATGGCGGACACGGAAGATCTCAGCTACGAGGCTACACTGCGGAGAGCCTCTCTCGCCTCCATCCACGAGATGCATCATGCCGTAACATTACTCAAGAACCAAAAAGCCTTAGCAAAACTTCAGAAAGCAGCGAGGAGAAACTCTCGCGACGGCCTGAAAGAAGGCTTCAGCGCGAGAAGATCCTCATTAAGGAGATCATCTCCAATTCAACCCGTAGACTCTGCCTCGAGCCACGCCAGGGGCAGTACAGCATCCTTGGACACTCATCTAAGGCGATTATCCATAAGCTCTTCGATACAAGATATGCACCAGAAGATGACGCTGATCAAAGAGGGGCAGATGGTGAAGAGACTGAACTCCAAAGTGCACTTCTCTGTGGTGGAAGATGCTGCGAGGCCGTCGAGTTACCGTCGAGGGAGTTTAGCGGGTGGCCGCCGGCGGAGTAGTGTCGCAGGATCGCCAGCCAGTGCGCCATCCATCGGTAGCATGCCTGCTGACCGAGGTAGACGGGGTAGTGAGGACTCTGATTCTTACAACAGGTTTGTACAAAGCAATAATAATAATAATATGAATTATATTTACCGCTAATGGGTCATTAGGGAGACATTCCCGTAAGAACGTGCACAAAATTTTTCCAACTTCACTGTCCCATAATTCAATATTCCCTAATCTGATCTGAACCAAACTTTGTATGTTTTCATTTTTGACCCTAGTCTATCATCTCTCAAAAATTGGACAATAAATTTGGCCTCCTTCTGGTAGTTCTGAAAATAGGGAGACACTGAAATGTCTCCCTAAAAGTCAACGTCTCCCTAATGCTGAAAATGTACCACAAGATATTATTATTATATTTACAAATAGGTCATTTGGGAGACATTTCAGTGACTACATGCCATGTCTAAACGAAAACTTCATAAATCGCTGGAATCTTTCATTTCCTGTTCTCTGTGACCACCCTGTCTGGTTTCGTCACTATACGAACTCCCGCGATCGACGATGCAGCTTCGTATTCTAAAGTGTCCAGTAAACCTTTACGGATTCACCCGTCTAAAGTGCAGAGGAAAAAAAGCACTTGAACACCCCTTCCAACTAAAAGACCTTGAACAGGACACTTCATCTCTGAAAACTGTACATGTATAAAGCAAAACCTGTCAGAGCGGCCACATTTATGTCACATTTTTTTCTCAGAGATCTGTAGTTTGCCATGTAAAAATAGTTCTTAATAGCAGCCAGCAGCCTCACAGAATTATAGCTAGAGACAAAGTCTTTAAGAAAAAAGTTACGTCTAAAAACAATCCATGAAAATTCATGAACACAACCACAATACCAATCATATTCGAAACAGGGAATTACAATGGGTAGCCTCCATTTATTTGCCTTCGCACTGTTGGTTCTGGCATCAAAATATAATTCAACCTTCGTTGCCATGTCAGCAAGCCGGGGTTTGTTCTAATCCTCCTTTTAGACTAATAGAACGAAAGAGAGGCAAGGATTTTTGGCTTTTTGGATACATTTTCTGATGCATTGTTTTTGTGACTTGGAAGTAAATAAGGGGGAGAAAAGTAGTCTCAACTTGTAGGAGACTAATTATCTTTTCTAGTCTGCTCCAGATCCAACAAAGTTAGGTATGAAATGAGTTATTTGTGGTCAACTCGCCAGAGACAGAAGTCTACCTGAAGGCAGTCAAGCCCATCAATTTCTATCCCTTGAAAATTGACCATTATGATAGGGTGAACACGAATGAGCTACTCAACACCTTCCAGTTTGGTGGATTTGTTTAAAATGTCACCTGTTTTAACCCTTTGGAACACTTGAACCTCAGTTAGCGAGGAAATCGCTGCAGTTGAGGCACTTAGAGATAACAGTGAATTCTATTTTTATGACCTTGGCCAGAAAAAATGTTGGCGGTCACGTTTTTCTGTATTTGCGGATGTTTTGAAGATTGAACAATACATTTTTTTTCTTTTTCATTATTGTTATTAGCTTCAGCAGCGGTGATTACAGTTCCTCATCATCGGGGTCATCTTCGTATTACTCTGGATCCTCATTCTCCGATTCGTCCTCGGACACAGATTCATCTTTGGATTGGGGCACTTCCAGCAACTCGGGCAGTGAGGTGAGCGACAACTCCCGGTCATCTCACGAGGGTAATTACTCCAGCGAGGACGGTAGCGGACCCAGGGCGTCGTCTGCAGACTCCTCCACGGAGACCGACTCCGGGAACGGGACGCTTAGCAGCAGCCATGGATCCAAGAGCGAGGGACAACCAAAGGGTGTCCCAGAACTGGCCGGCCCGTCTGGATTGGGATGGGTGGGTCGAACGTCCCCAAAGACCCAGTCGAATATATATACAAACACCAAAGAAACATATTTTCAATACCCGGATACTATTCCACAAGCCGCTGTGAGGAGTGCGATAGACACCAGCGACAAAAAGGTGACAAGAGGGCGTGTACAGTCCAAGGCGTGTGTTTTACTTTAAGTACACATTTCTTCTCAGTTTTATTGTTTCACAACTTAGCATATTATTACACATTTTAAACTCCCAAATTTTAAATTAAAAAACAAGGACAGCATTTAAAGCAATTTGGTTACTACAGCATGTATGAACCTTTAAATGAGTACAACATTTTACCAACCATTCTGTTTGGAAGGATGAATCCCCAACCACAATTGCTTGTCTAATTAAACCAGTAATCATGAAACCAAATGACAGAAAAGACAGAAGTTTCACTAAAATTACTTAATTCATCAACAGACTATATGTAAGCCTGTGCACTGATGATAGGAATGGGTGAAATGGTCAATTTCCAGCTGCAAAGTTACAGTTCTTTCGTGGAGTTTCATAAATAATTGAACAAAATCAACTAAATACAGTAAAGGAAAATGTTACATTAATTTGATACAGTCCATGATCTTACAGAATATAAAGTCTTAATCAATTTAGTTTAGATTGCAGCTGGAGTGCCCTGAACTGCATTATCTTATTCCACACACACAAAGCTAGAGCTGATACTAAATGAACGCAGTTCATATTTATCTGTGATATACATGTACATAGTCATATAAAGACTAATCTTTGAATGTTGCTTTCTTTTTTTGCACCATTTTGGTGAACTAGTAATAAATGTTTAACAATTTCCATAAGATAATTATCATTAACACACACAGCCCTAATAGTCCCCAAATTCTCCGATTTCAATATTATTTTACATACACCCTTGGGAGTTAAGGTTAATCTTATTTAGTTCAGTACTTCAAACAACAAATACTTCAAACAATACCACAAATCACAAGGTAGTTTACAGTAACACAAGTTGTCAAGGTCTATGAAATAAACTTTCTGAGGTTTTTACTTTGAACGTTTTGAATTTCATGCTTAGCTTTTTAAACAGTAAGTGCTGATGTTGTTTTCTGTCACAATTTAATTCTGTACAGATTTCGTCAATTCTAAAGTCACGGGCTGAAGTAACCCTTTACAAAATTTTTTGGTCTGATTTTATATACATGTATATATTTGTATATTTGCACATAATATATGATTAATGGCCTCTGTTCACTTTCAAAACTACATGTAAACAAGGTTTTTGAATAAACATACAGTAATCTGCATTCAGTATGAACACCCAATCCACACCGTACATGCACACTAGGCCTACTACGGTAACATTAAGCATTATGGCAGATAGAAAACTTATAGCAAGCTTTGAGCCAGATTTTAATGCAGTACTAGAGTATGGATTCAGGGACTTACTACGCAGCAAAAATGGCTTGGCAAATTTAGTGACAAAAGCAAAAAAAACTTAAAATGGCCCCATGCTGATGTGCTTCAGTTGTCAGCATGGCGGAAGCAGTAGTCTAATCCCTGGGAGCAGGCTAAACGGCATGGCTGACCTGACTTGGTGGTGCCACTACAAAGACGCTTGCTTGGAGTGCCAGCTCTGGAACTGCCTGGTGTGCTTGGTCGAGAACTAAAAAAAAGTGATAAAGTTTCTAGTTTCGTGTATTGCAGTTTCATAAAATCCAACATAGCCATATAACTCCATCTGATGGATGCAGGTGTGCTACTGCACAACTTCGGTCAAACAACATGTACTAAAAAGGCAGAATTTGTTGAGAATATTAGCGTATATTGCTTGTAGTTTTAAAAATAAGGAGCAGTGTTGCTGACTTTGGTGTAGAATGTATTTTAAGTTCAACGGTTCTCTTCTTTACACAGTATACATGTACGTGCACATGCATTTGCATGGACATGTTGGTAACTTGTCCCAGGAAAGTTGAAAATTAGCCTATTATGTTGCTTATCTTACAGTTACACTAGAGCCACGCTGATGGATTCTGACTGAAGTTCACAGAAAAGTGACACCCAATCTCAATTTATTTTTGTACTACACTATACAGTTCAGGCGATTCATGGAGATTTTGCTGGCTTGTGATTTTAAGAAAAATTATTCTTCAACTCTCTCACTGTACATGCATATACATGTACATGGGATGCTTTTTGGTTAAATAAACAGATCAGTGCTGAGAATGTTGGCTAGATCCTTCCTACCTTGAGGGGGTACCCCCTCTCTGGCTACACGGTGATGGCACTGGCTTGGGTAGATCCTCCAGGGCTGCAGCTAGGTGTCTCTTGGCAGGATTGGTGGGTTTTAAGTCCCCAAAGCCCAGCATGGAGGGAGAGGAAGGCATTGGAGTCTTGGAAGCAGAGTCAATGGGAGTGCCTATGATGTCATTGCTAACAGACAGAATTGAGATAAATGAATGGGGCAAGGATATCCTTTCTGATGTCCTCTTTGAAATTACTTCCAACAGTCAACTGTTCAACTTTTTAAATTTTGAATTGGGAACAACAGCAGACGAGCTGAATCAACTTGTCTGGTATGAGATTACAAGAGAGTGTTAAGATATAAATTCCGTGTTCAAGAAGCGACAAATAATCTACAAATGCTAATCAAACATTCATGCTATTGGCATGTACAAAATGCAGAAATGACAGAGATACCTGACAGGCATCACAGCTGCAGCACACGTGTACATGTACTTACATTTTGCTGACTGAGTGTTCATTGTTGAGTCTTCTCAACCACACATCTGTCACATTAGAGCCTGTCAGTGTAGTGTCATTACCAAAGGCACTGGAGTCAGACAGCATAGCACTGTTGAAAGTACCGGAGGAAATCTCGCCAGTAATGGCAGACAGGTCAGTGGGTAAGGTGTAATCTTCATCGTCAGAAAAGTCTTTTAGACTTTTAATAGGTAAAAGAAGGAAAAATATTGATCACACACATGAGTCAATTTACATGTAAGTCTGTATCATTCATCAAACAAGGCTTCCTTAAGCTGAATACTGTACCAATAAGCACCAGCCAATCACAAAGGCAGATCCAGAGCCAAATTTGGGGGCAGCAAGTGTGAGTGTTCTCCTTACTTGGCTCCAATCTTATACTGAGAGAATGACACACAAATTACACGCAGTATTGCGCACAATCAAGCCCAGGCTATACCCTGTGCTACTGCTGTGCCAAACTCAAATACATGCAATTCAATCTTTTTAAGTCGGCATGGCAATAACACAGCGTTGAGCACAATTCAGCTTGATAAATTGAATTTGACATGGCAAGCCCTTCAGGTTGACAGGGTATGCTGCAATATTGGTGATCCAAATGTCAGTGACATGACACTGCTCTATTTAAGTTTGCCGTTTTGTGCAACTACTCTGCTACTGCTGTATTTGCTGAGCTATTGCTGCACTCATAAGCTCGGCACGGCCGTAGCACCGCGTCTAGTCATGGCCTTATCTGTCAAATGATACCTGTGCATAATATTGATCTTCCAAGAAAAGAACGGTATTTACCCAGGGGATCTGCTCACAGTGGGTGGCATGATGAATCTGGGATTGGAGTGACTACACTGACAGGGAGAGTTACATGTAGGTACAAACTGTCTGAGTGACTTTGGGCCCTGTTTCCAATACCGCAAGATGAGCAAGATGGTCCAATTGGCTGAAAATTACCCAAAAATGGCAATGTCAGATCTTAATGCAGGCAAAAAGTTGATAAAAGCTCATCTACAAAAATGGATGAGATATTTTGCTGTTAAGCATCAGATGATATACTGTACATGTAACTTTAATCGCTATCCACCTAAAACAGGTAAGCACTGTCAAAAAAGGTCATCATTGGTGACACTATCCCCACAATCAATACAAATTCAACATACGTTCCTGCCCTTTACTATCAATCGTCACTGTACACATCTTATTTGGACTACTTATGTTAGTGGTACAACTCTCCTAATGTTGGCTGTCTCACACTGCCCTTGGGCTGCAACAGTGCAATACTTGAGCACAATGTTTTTCATGGATCTAAGATCTTTCAGGCAGACACCAAGGTACATGTTCATGAAGGAGAGCTTAGAAGGATTAGTTTGGGAAAAAGTCACATGAACAGTTGCAACCTTAACATACATGTACTGTGTAAATCTCTAATGTAAGCAAAATCCATCAGAGTTGGAAGACATGTAGTTTAACCATTTCACGCCG